ATGCACCGATCTGCCACTGGCCATGCCCACAAATAACCCTCCTGCGGGGATCCCTGGCTGACGACTGCTAATGCACAGATCCGCCACCGTCCATACCCACAAACGGCCCTCCCACGGGGATCCCTGGCTGATGGGTGCTAATGCACCGATCTGCCATTGGCCATGCCCACAAATGGCCCTCCCGCGGGCATCCCAGGCTGGCGGATGCTAACAGCACCAATCCGCCACTGGCCACGTCCACAAACTGCCCTCCGGAGGGGATCCGAGGCTGGCGGGTGCTAATGCACTGATCTGCCAAAACGCACACCCAGCTGCCTTTGCCCTGCACGAACTATGCCGCCGGGAGAAGGGAGTGGGGCCACTGGGAGCAGGGCAGGAACTTCCCGGGGTTTGCGTCAGGCAGCCCAGAGCAGAGTGCGAACTATCCCCACTGGTAGCTGCTTGCTCATTCACTTACTTGCTCATTCATTCACTCATTTACTCGCTCATCCATCCCTCTCAGGTCCCTGGCACCAGGCCAGGCACTGAAGGTGAAGCAGGATAAGACAGAGTTATGTCCTCAAGATGTTAGTAATTCAGTAGGGCGAAGCAGGCACATGAACGAGGCAGTTGTATGCACAGATGCAGTGTACTGGGTTCAATTGTATGGAAAGCTTTAATTAAATAAAAATTAATAACTATATTTTACTTATACATATATTTTAAATGTTATGAAGATTTTGGCCTCTAAGGAGGGCAAAATAAAGTAACGAAATATTTCTTAAAATCCAACAGCAGAATTTTAAGACAGAATTCTAATTGCAGAAGCCTCTAATGGCCTGCATTTTGGGTAGGCTAGAGGTAGGGCAGCATTTGTGCCTTGTGAATCAGAGGTATAAGTTTACTAAATCTACTTGCTTTGCTTTTTTAATAAAGATATCTACTTTAATTACTTTATAAATTAGCTTTTTAAATTATAATCAAGGTTTCATATAATTTCAGCTAAATGAAAAGCCAATATTTTTATAAACAATTAAATTCTAATAAAGCCCTCTGAAAGTTACTGGGACTACCCATGATCCCTCTGTATATACAAATAAGCCCAAGGGGATACTCTTTAAAAATATAATTCTAATATTAATAAAAAGGAGAAATTTAAAAATTTTGAAATCTCTTTCGCTAATATTTACAGGGTAAATTAAAGATTATTATTAAAATATTAAATCTGATCCTTACTAGTAGTCAACATAATGTAATGAGAGTCATTGAAATATAGCTATTCGGCTGCATGACCCAGTATCCAAGCAGTAGACCTATAAGTTGCTTGGTGTAAAAAAGAAAGAAAATTGTCTTTATAAAAAAACAAAACTCTCAAAATGTGTTCTAAAAATTGCCCTGGAAGGAAATAAAAAGAGGTTTCTTTCAAATACATAATTAAAAGTCAATGTTAGGCTTCATACATAAAAGTAAATAATTTGTGTTTTTGCCTCCCTGACAAAGCTTATGTGAAGTTACTCAAAGACGAATAGCAGAAATTTAATTAATGTCATTTACTGTCTATAACCTAGGACAAGTAAAATTAAAAAATAAACCTTATTTCAGATTGATTTTAATTGGCTAATTAAAATACATGAATATTCATAAACTTTATTGTACTGGGCAGGAAACTGTTCCTGAAGCATTAACTAATTTTTTAAGAATACTTTATCTCATAGTTCAAAAAATTGCTTAACATGCAATGAATCCAAACCAGTCATATTTCTGTGCATAAAATAAAATTAAAAAGTTATCAAGACTGCATTGCAAAATTTCCAAAAGCCTCTTAATATTATTTAAATAAAAAAAGAAGGGGGATAGTGGAATAATCCCCTGTGAGTAAATTACATCAAGAACATTTTTTGCTTTAAAAATTAATTTTCACTTGTAATGTTAAAGACAAGACACCCATGAAAACACATTTGGTGTCAAAATAAGCCAAAGAAAAATGGTTTGGGCACAATGAAAAGAAAAGAATCCAGGTCTAATTTATAAAAAAGATTTCCTTATTAACCTTGGTCGAGAATATGTTTGTATATTTCCAGAAAAATCTCTCCAAGCTCATGTGGATTACTGCAACTATGAATCTGTGAGAGGAACTGACAGCATGCTGAAGACAAAAGGAGAAACAGTCCAGAGATGGAGATGGTGAAGACATCTTGCGATACTAGCAGTCAGCAGCTGTGCGTCGCTGCAGGTTGCCCAGGACCAAACCTGAGAAGGTTGGACCTGTATTGCCACCATTTGCCCACCATCCAGAACTGGTATATCATTTCTGGCATGTACACATAAGGAACTGTTGGACATTGAAATTGGGACTCAAAGATCTGTTGGCTCAGAAAGAAACTTACTACAGACTGATCCATTTGCCTCTCAGCATAACCACTATTGCTTGTCTCATTTTTGTTCTCCTATGTTTATTTCTAGTTCACAGTTGCGGAATTACTAAGGAAAAGAAACGGGGAGATGTGGGAGGCCGCCCATTGTCTTCACTATCAGAGAAGTGCAAACAAGGATCCTGGAATGCTGGTGAACCTTGAACCCATGGCAAGGGCCTGAGTTATGCACCAATTGTCTAGTCCTGACAATGGGGGCTCAAACTATTTCTTGATCAAATAGTCTCAGAGTAAATCCTTCTAATATTTACTGACCTTTAAGATAGCCTGTCTGTTATTGCAATTACCTGCCTGACTAAGGGCTTTATGTTTAACCAAAGTGGAATAAAAGGCTGGTGAGGCCTGGGCACCGGTGGAAGTCCTTCTCCTTGAGTTGGACTTGCCCGCCTGGCCCCCCAATATTTCCAAATTATCTCTTGTCTCGTCTCTTTCATTTGTGTGCGGATCCTCTTCCAGATCCTGAACCCTGAACCACGTGGGACATGGGGGAACACACATACACACAAAACGTCTCAATAATTAAAAGACTTTTCCAGGATTAATGTAGTGTTTAACAATGAGCAAGTTAGGCAATGTGTTGAATGTGTTAATCCATTAAGTAAGCTGCAAATTGCCAAGAAATAATATGTCAAAAATATTTTTCTCAGAAAATAACATGAAAATTTTAAACACACATTCTCTGTAACATTTCTCTGTTTGTTTTTCATTTTTTTCTTTTCTAAAGTTTATTGAGAGCAGAGGTGGGGAGTAAACATTACTCTTCTACTGCTGTGTTATAAGCAGGAGAATTTGCAGTTTTTTTTGTTTTGTTTTGTTTTTTTCTTGGAGAGGATATTTAAAATTTTGGTAGGAATAGAAGAGTTCACAAACATTTTTTTTAAAGTGCAAGTAAACTGAAATACCCAATCCAAAAGCTCTTAAGATCAAATAAACAAGTAAAATGAAATAGTATTCCTGTATGGAGTTATTTGGTTTCCAAAGTTCCTCCTCAGGAGAGTCAGTACATGTGAAGTGATGGTGAAATCTACCCCAAGCCTTGACTTTTCAGGAAGTGTGACAGGATATTCTGAGATGGTTCTTGTATGGACCACATGAGAACAATGCCTGGTAAACACACACCATTAGCTTTTATAGTTATTTCTAACAGTTGGTCATAAATTGAATTATTCTATATCACACAGCTTTGTAATATCTTTGGAATATTAAGTTTATTAAATACAAAAATAATCATTGTCACTCATTCAGGACTTAAATTGTCTGTAAATTAAGGAATAGCTTTTCTCTCAGTTTCTCCAATACCTGAAGGTGGGGGGCGGGGGGTGAGGAGGAGGTGGTGGTGCTTGGGTTGACGACAGGAGACAGGATCTCAGCTGTCTTAACTCTCCCTGTCCCTGAGGAGGGACAGGGAGATGGAGGGGAAGAGACTCCACCAGGAGCCTCTGCAAGTGGATGGGGTTTACTCCACCAATCCCAGGAAGGACTTAGTCCCTTTTGGCATTTGAGGGAGGATGCATTCCTCCTTCCCCCAAGCAGGGCTGTTTGTGTAGCTCTGGGAGGGTGCCAGTGGGGCAGCTTGTACTGGTGACAAGGTGGATGTGTGCTGGTTGCCTCTGATCCAAACGGAAGGCCTGAGCTGAGCTGCTGGTAGCCAGGCCCAGTACTAGCCTCCTGCTGTCCCCTTGCCCTCCAGTGCCAAGTGTGCACTTCCAGTGTGGGGTGTGCATTTAGGTATCTGTTGTTGTTGATATTAAGGAACGTGGGCCTGGAAGAGCAAGTCTAAAACGGAACTTAAATGTCTTTGGTGCTGCAGATAGGGGACATGTTATCTTCTGTCCTCGCTCTTCCCTCCCTCACTCCTACTTGTCTGGCTACTCCAGATACTGACCACTTTAGAAGTTGAAAATCATGCCAGATATTTATTACAGCCAAGCAGTAAGAGTCGGGTTGATTAGAACCGAAATCAAAATAAAAAGGACACCCATTTTTTGGTGTAAGAGAAGTAGTTGAGGAGTAAAGTTCATGCCAAGCCAAGGAATTCAGAGGCAGAGTTTCCAGAAAACAAGAACAAAACTGCTTGAGAGCACAGAGAGCTTTAGTGATGTACCACAGTAGGTTTTTAAGGAGAAAATTTTTAGTAAAGTAATGGGGCCAAATTCTCTTTGTAAGCCATTAGGAAAAAAGTTGTCACTAAGAAGTTGGATCTGGGCTATGTTTTATTTTCTTTTTTAATGTTTATTTTTAATTACAGTTGGCATTCAATATGTATGAGTTTCAGTATACTACACAGGGATTGAACCTTTATATAACTTAAGAAGTGCAGTCCTCAATAGGTCTTGTACCTACCTGGCAGCCTATAAAATTATCACAATATTATTGACTACATTCCCTAGGCTGTACTTTACATCCCTGTGACAGTTTTATAACTGCCAATTTGTACTCTGTAATCCCTTCCCCATTTTCACCCAGCCTCATCCTTCCTCCACCTGGCAACCAGAACCAGGGTTACTTCTAGACAAAGTCATCCACTCTATGAAACAAAGCTCATATGTGTGACCAAAATGTATAGAGTTTTTGCAATAAAGTTCTTACCTCTTTTTTTTCTCCTCAGTGTAGGTTGGAGTGGTTTCTGTCACTTCTCTGTTTTTCACTGGATGGTTGAGCTTTTATTTACTTGTCTTATGTCACATGACTTTCTGGAAGACCCATTAATTAGAAGTGAAGGGTTTAGAGTACTGTGAAACTGAAAGCACTGAGTACAAAGCACTGACTCAAAATCAAACAAACCAAAAAAAGGAAATTCTGAAAGCTAGGCAAACGAGAGGGTTCTTGGATTTCACTGAATTTCTTAAAAAAGTTGTTTGAGAAAAGCTCCATTGCTGGTTCCTGGTGGGTGTAGTCAACAGATGTGGCTCCCTCTTCCCTCTTCAAGCAGGGTAAGGTATGTCACTGGGAGAGGCAGGCCACCAGTATTTCTCATCCCCCTCCAACACTGAGTTGCAGAGACTGAATTCCTGGAGGCTGGGGCTGTCAACCTCCACCCAGCCCCACTCAGAGTGAAGGCTCTAGCTGATGCATAGGTGGGAGGAAGGATGGGGGCTGAGATTGCCTGGCCTGCTCACCCTCCCTCTGGCTCACTTGTAGGAAGGAGTTTC